GATTCCAAATAGTGGTTTATGTACCTTTCTTTGAAGGTTTCTCTTGATTCCTTACCATTGTATCCTTGATATTCACATGTGGCTTAGGTTGTATGATTATAATATTCTACCCTCTATCCCATGACCTTGGTGTGTCACTTAAGGAAGTTTTGGGTCCCTCCTTTGGAGGTCTCTAAGGCATGCCTAAAGTGGTGAATCCTTGAGGACTCCCTTTTGTATGATTTTTATGGTTTGCCCTTGTTACATTTCCTTCTCCTATTCTCTTGCATTATTTCATGATTGTCTTGAGGTTGAGATGAGCTTGTGGAGGCTCCTGCCCCACACTATTTTCCTCCCTCACTTGCATTGCATCTTTACTTCCATGTTTGCATCTCATGTATGCATTTGTACACTTGTATTCTTCTTCTTTCTTTTGTCTTCCTTACCCTAGGGCTTCCATTCTTTCTTGTTCAAGATAGAATATGATAGACATTAGGCCTTAAACCATGCATGACAACAATAAGTAGTTCCCTCCTAACCTTGACTATAGGATGAACTTTTCATGACAACTTTAGGATTGAACTAGTTTCCCCTTTAGTGCATCTTCTCTCTTCTCATCTTCAAACATCTTTAAAACACTTAATAAAGATTAACGATGTCGTACGCTACGAGCCTTAAGCTGCTTGAGAAAGGGTTGTTGGAGAGTTTCTTTCCAACAATCTGGATGTTTAGTATGGCACCCTTTGGGTGACATGCGACGCATTCACTCTCAGGTCATAGTCTCTAGTGCGATATCAGTTGCAAACATCCATAAAAGACACTTCTTCTGAAAAACAGAAAACAAAGATCAAACATCTTTTTATCCTCTTGGACCTTTAATTCTTTGGAAACCCTTTTCAGAAGGAGAGTTTTTTTAACTCTTGGTTCTACCGCAAACGGTAAACGCCTAAGTCTCCAAAGGTCAAGCTGCATACACCAAACTGCTGGAACCGTCTGTTAACCCTACTCGGATAAAAAATACAAACCTGTGTCTCTCGTGTCCCGAACTACGTAAGCTCTAATCTCTCAAGCCTGTTGAGAGTACGTAGGCACAAGATGCGATATATTGGCGAGCAACCTTTCTCCCGTAACCCGTAGTTAGGCGAACTACGTTGACTCTGATTTCTCGTTCCAGACGGGAATATGTTGGCATAAAGTGAGACGCTTTGCCGAGTCATTTTCTTTTCTTTTCAAACCAGACCTTTAGCGTAGATAGATAAACAACCCGTCAGATAAACACAACAAGCGTGGATCCCATCGAGTACGATGGACGTGATGGGTGCTAATACCTTCCCCTTGCGTAACCAACTCCCGAATCTAGACATGGTTGCGATGACCTTGTCTTATACCTTTTCGTCAGGTTTTTCCGATCGTTTCCTTTCCCTTTCTGTGGGATAAATAACGAAAGGTGGTGACTCTTCTGTTTTGTCGGTACCTTATTTTCGCGGTAGCGACAGGGCCCAAGAAACTTAGAAGGAGAGAGCCTGATGAAGTGATCCAAACAAAATGGCATAGAATAAATACAAACCATATGTGCAAAGCTTGTTTTGAACTAGGCCACAACAAAAGAACCTCCAAGAAGAACAAATAAATTGTGCTTGTTCCATCTGGGAATACCATACAAGCCAGTCAAGGGATGACTACACAGACCAGTCAAGGGTTTCCTACACAGGTGACTCAAGACTTGCCTACACAAGTGACTCAGGAGATGCCTACACGAGCAAATTAGACTATCCATGTCCATTTGGCATCAAAAAAGGGTAATGTTCTACTTTAATATTGTGGTTGTGTGAAATAAGATATAAGACTCAGTAACAATGTTAATGTTGTTATTGTTTCATGTAGGGGAGGCCTAAAGGATATACCAATAATGGTACAACTAAGAGTGGAACAAAGAAGACAAAATTCAAGGAACTAAAGAAGACAAAAGTCACTGAAGCAACTGTCAAGGAGGAAAAAGCCAAAGAAGCAACTTTCAAGAAGCCAAATGTCAAAGAAGAAACTGTTAAGGATCCAAATGTCAAAGAAGAAGCTGTCAAGGAGCCAAATGTCAAATAAGTAACTGTCAAGGAGCCAAAATCCAAAGAAGAAATTATCAAGAAGTCAAATGTCAAAGAAGCAACTGTCACTGGGCCAAAAGTAATTAAGCCAAATGTCATTGAGCCAACTGCCAAGGACGAATCTACACATTCTTCAGGTTTGGGTGTCAAGGTTTTCTTTGGTAAGCAACCCAAAGCATGCAAGAACAAACCTTTTAGACCCCCTGGTATTAGAACAAATCTTTCAAGGAAAAGTTGTCGTGAACCAATCAAATTTAAAACACAAAGTAGGTACAAAACACAAACTAATGTAGCAGCTAAAAAATGGCATAGTGAAAGGCTGAGGACCCTGAAAACAAAGAACATACTTGGCCCAAGAAATAAACCTGATGATCTATTGGTGATAATTGAAGAGGACCACATAATTTGTAAGGGGCTAACTCGATGAAGATGTAGTGTTTGATGTAACTAATGTTTTGCTGAATGTACCTCTTTAGGAACAGCTATTTTGATATGTAATTTCCTGATGTAATGTAATGATGTACTATTTTGCTATGTTATGTTTTGGTGAATGTAATGTACTGGTGTACTATTTTGATTAAACTATGTTATGCTAATGTAATGTACTGATGTACTATTTTTCAATGCTATGTAAAAAATATTTTGGTGAAATCTGTTTGAATTTCAATGTGAAAATTATATGTCTGTTTATGTCAAAATTAGAGGCCATGTTGTATGAAAATTATAGCTCATATTATGCCAAAGTTATAGATCAGTTAATATCAATATTATAGGCCAGTTAATGTCAAAATTATACATTAGATTATGTCTGTTTATTTCAACATTATACATTACATTATGTCTAATTTATAGGTGAGGTTGTGTGAATATTATAGGCCACATTGTGTGAATATTAAAGGTCATAACTGAACCAAATCTTTTCAAACCAAATCATATGTCATACCAATTGAACATTACAAAAACAATTACACCAAATTATAGTCCATACCAATTCAACATTACAAAACCAATGAGACAACATTATAAACAAATATCAATTCAACATTTACACCTAATTTACAAATTCATGTTGACCACAAATGAAACTGCAATACAAATTGTCTTCAGCTTTCCCCAAAATGCCTCTGCCTTGATCATCATCTTCAACCTCTTGTTCTTCTTCATTGCAAATTCATATAGCTCCTTCAAAGTTTCTACAACTTGCATATCCCTCATCTTACTCTCATCTTTGCTCCATTCTGCATCTACACATTGATGACCATCATTTCCTTATTCATTATCATCATTCCAAATGAATAAATTGGAAGTACCCTCATTTTCCCAATACGGGCATCTCCAAAACATTCTCCCTTTATTTTGTCTGTTCGTGCACATGTATGAAATCATAGGACAATCGCACCCACACGTTTTCACTTCACGGTTCCTCACACTAATGGAATGGTACGACAATGACTTGTTTAACCTTGACGAAGATGACATGATGTCAGAGAGGGAGGAGGGAGACAAATAATAAGAAGAACAAGGCGATTAGAAGAAGGTGAACGATGGAGGGAGACGAAGGTAAGGGAGGGAGACGGTGAAATAAAAAGAAGAAGGGGATTAGGGTTCCTTCCTGTGTTTGGGGTTTGACTTTATTATAAAAAAATATTATTTTAAAACAAATATGACATGGCCATGAAAAGTACACACTTGACATGCCACATAAGTCTCTGTTAATGTATACTAACGAGAGGGACCAAATTTAGGAAGGAAAAACTTTGCAAGAACCATTATTTAAAAATTTTTTTTTATAAAAACTAAACTTAAATGTTGACATATTTATAAGAACCCCAAAAATATTTAACCCTCTTGAATATATATTAAAAGTGCACATATACTTGCTTATATCTAAACTTATTTCATTTTATCCATTTCAAAATTAGTGTTTAACCAAAAAAAACATGCAGCTTAAATAAACAGTGAATTAATTTATCGTACCAAAATATCATTTTGGTTAGACGTGTAATCAAGCATACGATACAAGTTAATTTTCAATGAAATATAATAGATATTTATAATAAATATTTTCTTAACTCTTTTTTTATTCATTTAAAAAATTCTTAAATAATTAGTTTAACTAATATTTAAATATAATTTTTTAGTTTATTTTATAATAAAAATATTAAACATAAATTTTAATCGTTTGATCTTGACCCAACATCTAAAAATAAGTCAAATATTTGAATGCGGGAATGTATGACACAATGTTCATTTGTTTGAATAAATGTAAACTAAATTGAAATTCAAACCAAACTATAGTGTTTGGATCAGCATTTTTTTAGTTTAAACAAAAATTGAATCAAATTAATGAAATCTAATATTAATTAATTTTGATAACGGATTTTCAAAATTCTATCCATAAATTTGTCTATCCAAACAATCATAATTAATTAGTATAATATATATAATTAGTATCGGAATTCAACTTATTATTGTTTGTTACATCAGAAATGAAAAAATTAAATATTTTATATTATTTTAAAAAATTAATCGATGTAAATCAATCCTTAGCTACAAATTTAGTTCAAACCAATATATTGATTTGGATATCTGATTCTGACAAAACTGAATCCCTATCCCTATGTGACCCTAAAGAAACATGATCCCTATTTTTCACCCTATAATTCGATAAAGTGGAGATGAATAGAAACGACAAAACACAATATCAGCCATTCATACAAAATTCAAAATTTGGCCATTATTTGTTTTGGTTAAAAAGTTAGTTACAAGCAGCAAAAAGTTCATTTGTCTTTTCTGCACGCATTTCCCATTCTTTTCTTCCTTCATGTACAATATTGCACAAAACTTGCTCTACTATTTTTTATCACATTCTCACTCTCTGTCGTCACTTTTTGAACAATAGTAGTGTCATTCATACCCATCATGGATGAAGATACTATCATGGAGGTGAGGGAAGATTTCATGCTATCACCTAACGGTGATTGTAAACCAACTTTCAGAACGGCCCATTTTCTCAAACCCATTTCAAACTCCATTGATGAGCCACCAGCTTTTAAGTTTAACCCATTTTCATCATCTCCGTCTTCTGTTTCTCAACCAATGGAATGGCCTTTGAAAATCCATTTTATTGGGTGGCGTCGTCCAGGAACGAAATGGTTTAGGTGGGTTGATCAACTTAAGCCCAAATATGAATCACTGTGGAAAAATGTTGGCATCTTTGAAGCTATAATGAGCACCAGGTGCCGCATAAACAAAACTCAAGACTTGGTTTATGGGGTTGTTGAGAATTGGTGTTCTGAGACAAATACCTTTGTTTTTCCCTTTGGTGAAGCAACTATCACTTTGGAGGATATCATGCTTTTAGGGGGTTATCCTATTCTTGGTGATCCTGTTTTCACCTCACTTGAAGACCAACAAATGAAAGAGGTTGAAGAGAAGCTCATCATTGCAAGACGGAAACTTTACCAGACTAAACAAGGTAAAGCTAGAGCATCAATATGGATGGATATTTTCATTGATAAAGGTAGTGAAATTGAACATGAAGCATTCCTTGCTACTTGGTTGTCTGTTTTTGTTTTTCCTCACAAAGTTTTAGTGAAAAGTTGTTTATTTCCTATTGCTGTTCAACTTGCTAGAGGAAATCCAATTGCTTTGGCTCCTGCTGTTTTGGCTACCATTTATAAGGATTTAAGTTTGTTTAAGAAAACAATTGTTAGTTTAAAAAAATATCTTGTTGGTGGTGTAACATTTCCCTTAGAGGTTACTGTTGCATCACCCTTTTACTTGGTTCAAATTTGGGTTTGGGAGAGATTCAAAAATTTACAACCCCAACCACAAACCATGATGATCAATCACGGAGAGCCTTTATTGTTTAGGTGGCATAAGGTTAAGGCTCCGAAAATTGATAATGTTAGGTTTACAATTGACTCAGCTATCGATGATTTTCTTTGGCGTCCATATGTTAAATATGCTGATAAGTGTGGAATGTTTTATCCAAATGATGAAATTTTGGTACCGTTTAAGAATGTTTTGGTGGATAGACAAATGCTCTCATTTGTTATATGCATGAGAGTTTCTGAGCTGGTTGGATTTGATTCTATAGAGCAGTATCTTCCACATAGAGTTGCTATGCAATTTGGAATCGATCAAGATGTTCCAAGTTATGTGCCTAGATTTAATGAGACTAAAGTGATTGCTTGGAAAAACTACTACAGACCCATATCCGATAAAATTTTGAATTTTCCTTCAAGATTTTTTGAGGCAGATGTTACTGCCCGTTATGCAAGGTGGTGGAAACAGTCTGTATTGGGGCACGACGATTTTGTTAAGAAAATTGTGCAGCGGAAGAGAAGTGAAAGTTCAAGGAAACATAGAACTGATGTAGGAAAAGCCAACAGAAGTGATAATGATATTGGTGTTCCACCTGGTTTTCCTCCCAACCTTGTGGACACTCTTATGTTTGGAAAGTTTTGTTATGATGGTTCAAAAACTAAATCTAGAAAAGTTGATGATTTGTATGCTGATGTCCCTTATCAGAACCAAGGTGAAAGCAAAAGCAAAAGCTTTTCTGTCAGAAAAAAATTCTCTTCTTCTCATGATATGGCTGCTCATGCAGAAGCTAAAGAAACTGTCCAAGAAAAAGCAAGATATGATGAAGTTATGGTTTTGTTAAAAGAGCAAAACATGAAGAGTCAAGAGGAACTCGCGCGTCTGGCAAGGCAACAGGAAGAGATGTTACGGTTAATGGCTTTGAGGGAGAATAGAGATGAAGAGTTGAGGCAACTACTCACTAGTTTTCTAAGGAACCAACAACCACCACCACAGTCATCTTCTTAAAACTCCATTTTGTTTTAAGCTCTCTTTATCAAACTTATGACAGTGATGTTATTTTCATACCGAATATTTAGTTGATATCAATACTGGTTTAGATGAGTTATTGGATATGTTTTTATCATTTGCTATGACTGTGCTTGTGTTACTTATCTTTAGTAACATGATATGATCAACACATATTTTATAATCTTCTATGCTTGTGCTTACTGCTTGTGTTACTTATGACAGTATAATTTTTGAAGTTGATTCTTAGTTACATTGTCAATGCTTTCTTTTCATCAGCCAATCCACACACGAGAACCTTCCATTTATCATGGATATCTTTTCGTCTCCACATTCGCCAGAGCGCAGTTAGTCCATATCATCCGCGACAACCTTAACCTCACGAAAGCTGACATTGGTAAAGCCGGGGTCACTTCAGTTTTAGGTAGTATTTTCTCAATGCTTACAATGGGTGCACCAGCAGTGTTCTGTGTGTCATTTGTTGAAGATGCGGCTGGTTACATAGCAGTTAGGTTTATGATTGGTTTTCCATTGGCAAAATTTGTTTAATAGTAAGATAATTGGTCTTGTTAATGGTACTGCTGCTGGTTGGGGTAATATGAATTAGGCCTTAACATTAGGCCAAGATTTACAGAAGGCTAATGTTGCTAAAAGACAAATTCACAAAGGTTAGTTAATTAGTTCTTAATTTGAGAACATATAAGTTAACATAATTAATCAATTGAGTTGAATTTTAGTAAAATTTGAAATTAATTAATTAATTTTGTTTTCAGGTGTTATGGTATGCCATAAAAAATTACAGAATTTGCCGCCATTTTGAAAAATTGTATGCAATATAATATTTCTCTAATTTTCATTCCAATTTTGTTTGCAATACCAGTCAGGGTCACAATGAGCTGGTAGGAACCCAAAACACTGCAACTAATGTTAGATTCTTTCCTATCCCAATCTATTACAACTTATTAAAACAGAATCCTAAATTATTTCAACACCACCTCATTATTGCATGTTGTGTCATTTCATAGCTGTCGCACCTCTAAAAATCATAGATCGAAAACGCGACCCTCGCACGAAAGGCGTGGAAATGCGGTTCGACAGAGTCGTCACCGAACTTTATTTATCCCGAATGAACGGGAGAGGAAAATATCGAGAAAACCTTTTAAAAACGAAGGGAACACGGCCGTCGCAACCTGATGTTCCGAGTTCAGGAGTCGGTTACGCAAGAAGAAGGTATTAGCACCCCTCACGTCCGTTGTACTCAACGGGAACCTCTTAATTCGAATTGTGATGAGCGTTAGCTAAGCTTAGTTATTCTCTTCTCAATAATAAATGCGAAACGATACGATAAAAGGATAAAGACGATAAGGGGAAGTGGATGGTTATAGGATAGAGTGCTCGCCAAGGATTGGGGTCCTTGTGCCTACGTATGCTCATTCGGACGAGAATGAGAAATCAGAGCGTCGTAGTTCGACTACGGAAAAAGATGAGGAAACAGAAGATGAAGGGAATAACGAAGAAAGATAGAAGTGTGCTCGCCAAGATCATCACAATCTTGTGCCTACGTATCTTACATTCAAGAGAGAATGAAGAATCAGAGCGTCCGTAGTTCGTGGTAACGACTATGAAAAGACGAGATTTAAATTGGTTTGAAGTGGGTACGGATGACGATTACTCGAAGCTTAAGAAAGGCTCCACCGGCCCAAGCAATCGGGAGAAAGAGTCAAAGACTTGACTCTCTCTCTTTTTCACCTTAAAAAGAAGTTGTGTTTGAATGGTGTTTGAGTAATGAGTGGTTGGACGATGATTGATGGTTGTCGAATTGAAAATGTTATTAGAGGCGTCAATTGCTCACACACGAGTAAGATAACTCACATCCAAACAAATAAAAGAGAGATCAAAGACTCAATCCCCCTCTTTTAACTTTGAAAAGAATCGAGTAGTTGTTAATTGATTAATAGTTTATTGAGAGAATCTGCTTAACGTTGGATCAAGGGTTTGACTTATATTTACGCGCAAAACGTGTTGGAATGGAAATGGTTTTGAAAAATGGCTCGACGACGAGTCGAGGGTTTGGATTGAAAATGGAACCGGCTTGACGACGAATCAAGGGTTAAGTTGTGAGAAACGATACTAGTCCCTGAGGGTGCTCCCAATATTGAAACCACGATGGAGTGTGTGCAATAGGTTGATGGCGAATGCGAACGGGCACTCAACTTACGGAGGGTTTCTGAAAATGGCTCGATGACGAATCGAGAATTAGTTTGAAAATAGTTTAATTAAAGAAATATGAAACATACATCGGAATGGGAGAGGGGTACATGCAAATTACACGGGATTACGCGAAATAAAGGGTCTCATTGTCAGGTAGCCCAAGAGAAAGACGTGTGTGTGCAATGTGTCCTAAACTAAGCCTTGAGAAAAGGCCGGGCACAAATCCATGCTAGGGTTCCTGAAAATGTCCAATGATCCAACAGTTCACCAATTTAGGCTTTTAGCGTTTCGATCATTTATTAAGTGTTTTCGAATGTGGTTGAATAAGAGAAGATGAATATGATATGAGTATGAGAAATATGAATAATATGACAAGATATATAACAATATAATCGAGATAATATCCACAATAATATGAACAAGATAATATAATCGAGATATAATGACTGAAAGCTAAAACAATGTATATTTAACTAAAAGAAAAAGTTAGTGGTTAGTTTGTTATGAATGAATCGGGACGAAATATAACGCTAAACCGTCGTAGCTCGACTTATGACGAAAGTCGGACTATAGGAGGTCGCGTAAATTGATATCTGTGCTAAAAACAAGATGGAGAAATGATATTGGGAACCATTCTCCAATTTAATCGTGTCGCACGGGCCAAAAAAGAGGGGGATCTCGTCTTAATCATAAACATCATGTCGATTAATCGAAGGTATCACGATCCCAAAGTAAAGAAAATGACCCAAATGGTCATTTTCTATAGATTTGACATTGTGAAGGTTATCGACTTCGATAAATCGACGTTTACGAATCGAAAGACTTCATAGATCGAAAAATTTAAATAAAATAAAAAATGAAGAAGAAATTGAAAGAGAAAAGAAGGTGGTCTCGGAAAAATTACTATCTATCAATAATTTGACCGATAATAATTCTTGGAGTTTCGTCATCGACCGAAAATGATAAAAAGAATAAAATCAGAAATAAAAAAGTGAAAAGAAGTTTGGTCTCGGATTTATTATTATTCATCAATAATTTGACGAACAACAACTTTGAGGTCTATTCATCGACCCTACCAAATAAGATCGGAAACGAAAATCGAAAAAAGAGAAAAAAATGGAAATTATTTCAGAAAACACAAAACATATTAAAAATAACAATTTAAAAAACTTAGAATAATTAATTTACAAAATAAAAGGAAGGGTGGACAAATGGATTGGGCTGTAAAAACATAAGGGGAATCATCATGGGCCATAAGCCCATTCATCCCCATAGGAAAACATGGCGTGACACAAGATCAAGAGGCGTGGTTAGTGTAAACATGTGGGCCTCATGAATCCAAGATAGACTTGATAGCCCATGATCCATCAGCACACCAAACCCCATTCTTTTGGGTAAAAACAAAAACCAGGCTCCTCTTACTCCATGACAGCAATAGAAAAACAACAAATTATGCAATGAAAATTCAAAAGTGAAACCAAAAGAACTAGGACAACACGACGGTCTAAAACACCCATCGACGCAACGTAATCACCCGAAATTCTTGCGGCACGATCTCGTTTCCCTTTTCATTTTTTTTGCTCTAGCTTCAATCACTCCCTTCAAAGCTAATTTCAAGGTTAAAACTCGTTTTCTCCGCTCGGTTCTGCTTGATCTAAAATCCCAAGTTCGTTCTCAATCACACTCCTTCATTTATGGGTTTATGGTTAACATTGGGTTTTGGATATGTTTTCACTTCCTCTTCTTCTACTCAGTCCCAAACCTTCTCCGATTTGATTCACAACGGTTCTTTTTTTTTGGGTTTTATTAGGGGTTAATGGTGATTTAGGGTAAAGGAGATAAAGAGGGAGGGGGTCGAGGTCAGAAAAATGATGAAGGCTTCGGAGTTGTCGTCGAGCGCGGTTCACGGCTAGGTGATTTAGTGTTGTAACAGGTGCGGAAAAAGCAAGTTATTCCGAGAAATGATTTTTTCCGCCAGATTCGTGGCCTTTGTATGTTTTTGTCATGAATAGGGCTGGAAATGAGTCGAGTCGAGTCGAACTCAGCTCAGCTCGGCTTGACTCGTTAAAAATTGTTCGAGTTCGAGTTCGACATGAACTTTTATTTAAGCTCAAACTCGACTCGTTATAAGTTCACGAACAGTTCGGTTCAACTCGTTAGGTTCATCTCATTAGGTTCAGCTCACATGATTCACGGGCTTAAAAACTATTTTTTAAAATTTATATATTTTTTAGTATATTTGACATTTTAAATAAATATATTTTTTTAAAATAAAATATTAAAATAAAATAAAAGTTATCATATTGAAATTTAACTTTATCTTCGAAATCTACTAATTCAAAACCTACACAACTTTCAAGAGATACATTTGAGAGTCTAATTCAAAAACTACTAAATTGAAGATTAAATTTGTCTAAGATTTGGAGTAAATATTTAAACCTAATCTTAAAGACAGTATAATTCTTCTCATACGTAATCGAGTTGACTCATGAACCTAACGAGTCGAAATATGTATAGTTCAAGTTCAGCTCATTTAGTTAAGGAACTTAATTTTTCGCTCATACTCAACTCATTTGGTTCATGAACCTAGTTCGACGATTTAATTGTCGAATCGAATTCCGAACTATTTTCGAGTTGGTTCGGTTCATTGCCAGCCCTAGTCATGAAGCTCCTTAGGTCTCTTTTCTTCCTTTCCTCTATGAGAGTGGCGTCTTATTTGTAGAGGGTTATTAAGGGCCAAATAGGAATTTTGCAGTAAAATTGATTGTTGCAGATTTTTGTGATGCTGT